AGCGGTCCGCCCGGGGCGAGGGGTGTGTCCGATCCGCTCCAGGCGGCCTGGCCACACCCTCCCTTCTCCAGGGGGCTGGTACTTACTGTCCTGGGCGGCCTGTGCGGTCCTGGGGTCAGTGGCTGAAGAGAGGAAAACACGGTGTTTCCCCACAGGGCCGTCTCCCTCTTCCTGCTTCCTTACTACCCGGAGGTGAGCGCACAGCCAGCTGGGGCTCCGATCCCCCAGATCCCCCAGCCCCGCAACCACCAGGGCCCCGCCCCGCCCCCAGGCTGGCCACCCCCACTCGGAACTCACGGAAGGCCACCACTGACGTCAGCACGAAGCTGGTCACCGAGCGCGCCCGGGGGGGCACCGTGATCACGCGCTCCTTGGCCATGGCGCGCTCCGCCTTGTCCACCAGGTACTGCGGGATGCTGAACTCCGACCAGTAGTAGGCGATGACGCTGCCCTCGCTGCACAGAGCTGCGTCTGAGGCCGCGACCACGCGCCATCGCACCCCACCCTGACACACCACGAGGCCGGAGGGGGCACAGCGCCCAGAGGGCCCAAGAGGACCACCTGTCCTCGGTTACCAAGGGTCGACTGAACTGAGGGAGTCAAGTCTTCAGAGAAAGGGCCAGCAGGTGGTGTGGTACTGAAGGCGGGGTCCCACGTGCAGGGGGGGTTCCTGACCCGCCAACTCGAAAATCAGGAGGGGTGCATGTGCCCCAAATCCCAGAGGAGAATGGAGGAGGGATTGCAGCGTGGCCTTCCCTCCCCCCCCGTGTGTGGGGGTGATTTCTCTCTCTCTCTCTCTCTCTCTCTCTCTCTTTCTCTCTCTCTCTCTGACAAGGGCACACACACTACAGAAAAAAACTTTAAAAATTTTAGAAAATAAACAAAGAAGCAAAAAGGATGCCTGAAGATCACTCAAGCAAGAAAAACATTAGGAAACCTTCCTGGGCACCCCGGCCACCCCGGCCCCCCGACCCAAGTCTGGAGAAGTGCAGAGACCCTCAGGTCCCACAGGGGCCCCCAGCAGCACCCAGGGAGCAGTCCCGAGGTGCTGAGCCCCACTCAGCCCAGTGCTGGCCGCTGCGTGGAGGCAGGAGCTGGGTGTGCTAAAACCAGCACAGGACCCGCCAGGCGGGACCTCCAGCTGCATGGCCGCAGGTGACCAGGTGAGTGTCCCAAACTCGACGCCACCAGCCCCACCCACAGACAGGCCCAGCCCGCTAGTCCCACCCTGCTCCTCCTGGCACCCACCTGAAGGCAGTCACGGCCGACGCCTTGTGGTAGGGGCCCAGCTCAGGGATTGCACCGTATAACAGCTTCAGCTGAGGGCCAGAGACCAGACTCAGGAGACCCAGGAGTGACCATGAACTTTCCTCCCCTTCCCACCCTGCTAGGAGCAGCTGGGGTGTCCTTTCCACCAGCAGGCAGGGCTCCCACCTGGGGGTGCACTCACCGCTTCCTTCACCCTGTCAGCCAGTCGGACAAACTCAGTGGAGTTGGGGTTCTCGTAGGCATCCAGAAAGTTCTCCTTCGTGATCCTCAGATAGCCATTGAAGACCTTCTGGACCCGCACATTCTGGTCTGTATGAGACCAGGAGGGTTTTGAGCAAGTGGTGCCACCTCCCCCTGTCTCCCCGTCTGATCCTACTTGTCCACCACTTGTCCCCAGGGGGCAAATGCTGGGAGGGGTCTGTGGGCCAGCCCTCACCAGTTCCTCTCCCTCCCCCATTCTCTCCCTCATACCCGCAACAGGTGGCCCGAGCCTCTCCAGGAGGACAGCCACCTGGAGCCAGCCATACTCACACTGGAAGTGCCACACCAGGAGGCTGATCGTGAGTGAAAGCAGGATAAAGCCGCAGAACACGGCCGTCAGCACCACCCAGCGCCTGGGGCCTGGCTTCTCCACCTTCTTGGCATTGTTGACCGGCAGGAACTCCACACCTTCCTCAAAGCCATTCATGCTCTGCACAGAGACAAGCCCGACTCAGAAACCTCCACGCAGCGGCTGCACAGCCCACCCACCAGCCTGGGAGGACATGGGCAGTTTGGGGGTATGGCTGGCAGGGAAAGGTGTGCTTAGAGA